TCATATTGTTGATTTTGATTTGTATTCTGTTTTTCCAAGGCGGATCTTTCTCTTTGTTTATTTTAACATTTTTAGGACTAATGGGGATTAATTTGTCTTGTATGGCAGCTGCAGTCGCATAAACAAGTTTATTCAAGAGAGTTAGGTTGATATTCTCTTCAGGGGTGCTATTTAAGATTTTTGTTGCTGCTAGGTTCCCAAGTTGTATGTAGTATTTTGCTTTTGTCCCTTCGTTGGTTTTCTTTAGGTTTTGTCGTTTTATGTGGCCATTTGTGCTATTGTCTTCTTGCACTCTCTTCATGATTTCAGAAGTCAGGTTTCATATTTTTTCCATATCTTCTTGTGGGTTTTGTTGTTCATCTATCGCTTTTTGTTGAGATTCTTCTTCTTTTTCTTCTTGCGTGGTTTCGTTTCCACGGAAAGATTCGTTCCGTGTGTGGTTGTTTTCTTCATCTGCGGTATCATTCTTTGGGTTGTGTGGTTGTGTATATTTTCTATTTCCGTTGTTGTCAATTTATTGTTATTTAATATAAACCTTCTTTGGGTAGCCATTGTATTTGCTGTAAGTTTACGTGCTGAGTTTGGATTTCTTTGGCTCCATAGTTTGAAAGTTTCCTTAATGTTTGATGTCCCTGTCTTTTCTAAAGTATACAGATGGCACCACACAATTTCTTTGTAATCTTCGGTTGTCCATTTTACTCTTCTCTTACTCTAATTCTTTTTTTGTTGACTGACTTTGGTTTCTTGTATCGCTTTCTCCTGGTCTTTGTTCTCACTTTCTTTTGGTTTGGGTCTTTTTTTGATTGGCTGTTGTTTCGTCGATCCCTTTTTCGCTTGTTTGTTATTTTCTTCCGATTCTTAAGGGATCCTCTGTCTTCTCCTTGTTTTCCTTGGATTTGGTTCCCTTTTTGATTGCCTGTTTCTTTCCAATTCTCAGTGGATCATGTGACTTGGTTATGTGTTTTGGCTCACTTTGATTTTTTGTTGGAGTGAGCAGTTCAAAGTGGCCTCTTTTGAGGTTTCCAGTCAGGAGTAGGTAAATATTTTCTGGGTGAGAACCTTTGCTAATTACTGTGGGTGTTTTTGTTGTTTTGAGCTATCCATTCTCTGGTCTTCTTTCCTCTGCAAATACCATAAAAGTCAGTTTTCTAGTTTCCGATATTGCGAGTATTTCTACACTGGTTCCAAATGTTTTATCTTGTCGCATTTTGTAACAGTAGCTTTTTGAATTATCTGGTTTAATAAGGTGATCTTGTACGTCGTTCCAATTCATTCTGACATAGCTGACTGCTTCTTTTCTGATTTCCATGTAGCGTTCCTGTGTATTGTGAAGATGTAAGCTTATAGTACGGAACAGAAAGTTACCATTTCCAATTATTTGATGTACGTACGTCAAATGATTCTGGTTGACTTGTTTGAGTTTTAGCTGTAGTGCTTTGTTGAGTAGATAGAGTATGAGGGCTTCGCTTGATAACGGTCCGGGACGCCTCAATGCCCCGGCCGAACAAACCTTCTAGTCCTTCACCATTTGCTGAGCCTTGCAGAGATATCTCGCGAGAAAGTGCTGCTTGCTCCACTTTTTCTCGCACAGGGCTTGGGAGACTCACAGCAAGCTCAGCCCGTGCATATTATCTCGTCCCAATGGGATGGTTTCTGGTTTTTGTCCACCCCGGGTATTTCATTTCCCCGGTGCCCTCTAGTTTTTAGGCTAGCGAGCGTACCGCATCGCGCAGGGGCGGCCTCCGATAGCTGACCAGCAACAGCCACGGATTATTATTATTATTATTATTATTATTATTATTATTATTATTATTATTATTATTATTATTATTATTATTATTATTATTATTATTATTATTATTATTATTATTATTATTATTATTATTATTATTATTATTATTATTATTATTATTCTTTATTCCATAGTATCACATAGCAATTCTTTGGCTATGGTTAAATTGTCTCAAGAAACTCTGGGTGCCCACCATGCACCCAGGGTGTTTCCATTTTCAGGTGATCGCTAGATAAAAATTTTAGGACTTTTCGTATTATATGCGCTGTATTCAACACTACTGATCTCTGCATCAGTAGCAGGTTATGCTTTTCGGGCACTTTTTATTGCATCACAGGTAGCAGTGGATACAAGTCCTGTGGCTCCTATTATTATTGGTATTATTTTTGTTTTGAGGTGCCACATTCTTTGGACCTCTATTTGTAGGTCTTTATATTTCAAGCGCTTCTCAGCTTCTTTTTGTGTGATGTTGTAATTTGATGGCACGACCACGTCTATTAAGAGGCATGTTTTTCTACCTTTGTCCTTAAATATAATGTTTAGTTTATTTGCTTTAATGTGTTTATCTGTTTGCACTTGTGCGTGTCCAAGATGATTGTTACATCCGGGGTGTCGATTACTGCGTCCGGGATATGCTGAAACCATTGTCATTCACTTTGATGTCATACTCCCTGCAGATGTTCCAATGGAGCTCTGCCGCTACTGTATAATGATGATCAAGGTAAACTTTTTTTGCCAGTACTGGACCTCCTGCAACAACATGATGAATGGTCGCATCATACGCCCGGCAAAGTCTACACTTTGGGTCTCCACCGGACTTCATTATATTAACCTTCATGTAATTTGTTGCAAGTGCTTGCTCCTGGCAGGCTGTTATTAGTGCCTCTGTTTCAGCTTTCAGGCTTCCATGGATTAACCATCTCCATGATTGATACCTACTGATTGGTTCTTTTTCGATTACTCCAGCTATTTGATATTTGCTCTCGTCTCTTGCCGTCTTTTATATGCTCCTTGATAGACTTTACTCTCTCCGTTTCAGATTTCTGCGTGTTGGTATCGTTTATTATTGTTTGGGAATCTTTTTTCAGTTGTTTCTGCTTTTGTCTATATACTACTATGCCGAGATATCTGTCTGATTTTTGTTTCAATTCCAAATAGCTCTCCAGTCCTTCTCTGGCAATAAATAGCATGGCAGGTTTCTTTACTTAGTATTCCTCTCCCGCCATCTTTTCTGGGGATATACAGCCGATCTATACATCTGCTCTTAGATGTAAGGCTCCATGCATGGTCATCAGTTTGCGTGTTTGTCGGTTTAGTTTTTGTATTTCTGCTTGCGTCCATTTTAGTATTCCAAAGCTATATTGGACTACTGAGACTGCTAGTGATGTTATAGCTGATCAAAACATCAGCTGGCGCTCAATTCGGTTTGTAGTATTTTCCTTATTCGTCGGTAATATTCTTTGGTGAGCTTGGATTGCATGTTTTTGTGTTGTAGTCCGTCTTCTTCGTTTATGCCCAAATATTTATAGACTTGGTGTTGTTCGAGAGCCATGATAGTTATACCTACTGTCGTTGATTTTGATATTTGAGCTTGATTGCAATCTTCCTTTTTGAAATGTGGCTTTGGCACATTAGTCAAGTCCGAATTCCATCTTGATGTCCTCGCTAAATTGTTCTGTTAATTCTTTGTCATTTTTAGCCAACAGTTTGAGGTCGTCAACGTATGGTTGATTTTTTGGGTTTCGTTTTTGCAGAAATAGCCGGCAATGGTGTTGTTTAGTATGGAGCTTAAGGGGATCAGCGCGATACAGAATAGTAGTGGTGATAGCGAGTCACCCTGATATATTCCACATTTAATATTAATATATCTTTATCTGGTTTGTATCCGTTATGAGGTTCAGGTCAGTTTTCCACATTTCCATTGTTCTGCTAATGAATAGTAGTAACGTGGGTGACACTCCGTAGATCTTAAGTGTTTCTATCAGCCAACTATGTGGAATACTCTCGAATGCCTTTTTATAATCGATCCAGGCTATTGATAAGCTTTTTCGCGAGTCCCTACAGTCTTCATGAATAGCTTCGCTTATCAATAGGTGGTCTTTGCATCCATATATATTTTTTGCGCAACCTTTCTGTTCAATGGGGTAGATTTTGTTGTCCCTATGAGATGAATATACATTCTTTCTGACATTGTTTTATTAAGAAGCTTGTAGGTGTTGTTTAGGCAGGTAATAGATGTGTAGTTTTTTGCCTCGTCTTAGGGATTAAATATGTTCTTCCTTTTGTTAACCATTCAGGGATTTTTTTTCTTCATGGATCAGCTTGTTAAACTCCTCTGCCAAGTTGCCGTTCATGGCGTGTAGTTTATTTAAGACAAAAGTTTGGAATTCCATCGGCGCCTGAAGATTTCCAATTGGCTGTTGCGTTGAGGGCGTCAGTAACTTCTTCCGCGGTGATGCTTACCCATTGCATTTTTTTAATATATTTTGTTTTCTTGTATTCTTCTTGTATGCATTTCGCACCAGTTTTGTGCTGATGGAGCTGCAGTATCCTTCTAATTCATGTTTCGGCGGGGTGGACTTAACTTCATTTCTCTTTTGCAGCATATTATTATAGAACTTCTTGGTGTTTTCCGAGAATAATTTATTTTGTTGGTATTGTGCATTTCCTTCGTTATACGTTTGAATTCTTTGAGCTTTGGCTAATACTAGTGGTTTCAGTTTTTCGATTATTTTATCGTGATCTTTTACATTCCTAATATTGTGTTTCGCGTAAAGTACTTTCTTATTCTCTTCCATTGCTTTGAAGCATTCTTTCAGTTGCGAGAGCTCTTTCCTGATGCTGATTATTTTTGCTTGTATTCTTCTCTTTCACGGTGGTTCTCATTTTATCCTTCTTTTTACTTTCTATTTGCTGTATATGAGACAGTCTTGTATTGTTAGTGCTATGGCGTAGATTAGTTTACTCACATTTGGTAAATTTTTGTTTGTAGTTGAGGCTTGTTTCCAGATGATTTCCGTTGCTTGGTTTCCGTCGTTAATCTTCTTTAGTGCTAGTCTTTCGTTGTAACTGTCAGTGCTTTTGCCCGCGTTTTTTTTATTCTTGATTTCCTGTATGAGTTCTTCTAACACTACGTCTTTGACAGTGGGGATTCCACGTTCTTATCAATTTCCTTTGTTAGCTGAACAGGTTCATTTTCTGGAGGAATTTAATTCCTTGGTTGGCTTATTGTTTGAGTCTCCATTCTTCTTTTATTCCGGTCTTCTTCATTTGTCATTCTGGTTGCTTGCTTGATGATTTCTGTGACTTCTGTCTTGATTTCGTCTATTTCTGCTTCGGTTAGTTTGTTGTTGTTTAGAATGTATCTCCTCTGGGTGGCCATTGTGTTGGCTGTAAGATTATGCTTTGGTTGTGGGTTTCTCGTTTGCCATAGTTCGGATGATTGCTTCAAATTTGCTGTTCCGGTTTTCCCCAAGATGTGAAAGTGACACCACACTATCTCTTTGTATTCCTCAGTTGTCCATCTTACCTTCCCTTTGTGTTTTATCTGTTCATTCTTTGACATTTGTTCATTCTTAGTAGTCGGTAGCCGGTATTTCTTTTACTTTTTGTCTTTCATGTTTTGTGGTTTTATCTTCTTTCGGAATTTCCTTAGGTAGGGATCAATAGTTCAAAGTGTCCCCTTTCTAAGTCGCCTAGTGGATATCTTTAAGATGTTTACATTTGTTGATTGTGGTGGGCTCCTTGATTGTATTTAGTTGTCCATTTTTCGGTCTCATATTTTTTGCATAAATCTTAAAGTTTAATTTCTGTGTCTCAGATATAGCTAACATTTCTACGCTGGTGCCTTATGTGCCATTTTGTTGCTTTTTGTAACAATACGTTTTTTGGTTATCTGGATTCACTAGATGTTGTTCGACTTCTTTCCAGTGTCCTGTGAGGTAGACAGCCTCTGTTCTGATTTTAGTGTGAAGTTCCTGTGTGTTAAACAGATATAGACTAATAGCCCGGAAGAGACAGTTTCCGTCTCCCAACACCAATAGTCATTTCTGGGCAAAGCTTTCCACGATTCCAATTTTTTGGATACCATGTGGCAGGAGTTTCTCAGCTGAAAAAATCTCTTAACTCCAGCTCCCAGTTTGGCATGCCTCACGAACCTTGGAGCGGTTACTCCTTAGAGAGGCTGGATGCTCTTTACCGCTTCCATCCTATTAACTGTATCAATTACCAGCAATTTCCCATGCTACCGAGCCCCAAGTCGATAAATGTGATCTGGAAATTACTTTGATCATCAGATGCACCGCTTCCGTATTAATTCGTGCAATTTCCATGCGACTCTTCTACATTAATTTAGCGTTCATGTCAACTTCGTTGCTCCAATGGATATTCTCTAAGGTTTGCAGGTTTGAATCTAAAATCCATATCAAAATCTTGGCGTGAAAAGAAAACGTGCAAGAGAAAAATGGATGGGACTTTATCGATCCAAGCATAATTCAAGTCGTAAAACACCTGCATTGGTGAGCTTAAGTCGTTGAACCTAAGCTTGACTTTATTTTAAGATATAATTTGTGTAGGTACCTAAATGTATTTGAGAAATATGGGTTTACTGTCAGCCAAATATTGACTGTATCCATAACCTTCAGCTGAAAAACTTGTGGATAGGCACATTAGGGACGGTGTTTTCGCAAACAGACCACTACACCCAGACCAATATGCGTATCGGAAATGGATGTCAACAGAAACAGCGCTCCATCAGCTGGTGTGGAGACCACTTCCTTCTTGGATATAGAGAGAGCAACATTTCCTTCGATTCAATAATCAGATCTCTCAAGCACGAAGGAGTTGAGGACACCTGCTGTGTGTGGATCAACTCCATGCTAAGGAGACACTGGCGGCCAGGGTGTACAGGGGATACCCACAAGACGAAGTATTATCCCCACTCCTGTGGAATATAGTGGCGGACGACCTGCTCGAGATGTTCACTGACGGAGGACACCGTGCCCTCGGATATACTGACGACATAGTCATCATCTCACAGAGCAAATTCAACTCTATAGTTAGTGAGCGAATAGAAGACGCTTTCGACCGAACAACAAGATAGGTGGATGGAGAAGAACTAAATATTAGTCCAACAAATCCACCATCGTGGCATTTACCCGAAGGCATGAAATACAAGACCTCTTAGATTAGGGGGTGAAAATATACAGATTTCGAGCGAGATCAAGTACTTGGGGATAACTGGACTCAAAACTTATCTGGAATCAACATCTGGAAAACACCATCAAAAAAGCGGTACCATCACTCATGATAGCCAGACGCTTGCATGGAAAGTTATGGGGCTTGTGACCGGACATACTGTATTGGACATACAACATGATGGTCAGCCCTATCTTGACATACGCCTCCCTGGTGTGGTGGCCCAGGACACTGCAGGGAAGTGCAATACGCCAACTTAGCAAAGACTGGCCTGCTCAGGAATAGCGGGATCAATGCGATCCACATCGAAAGCAGCCATGGAGACTCTCCTAGACTTCCCACCTCTACACATAGTGATACAAGGGCAGGCAAGGATGGGGGAGTACAGACTGCTGCCGACAACCGCCTCCAACAAAAGGACGGGACACATAGCAATCGTAAAACTCGTGGGGGGAGATATTTTCAACATGAGGATCGACTACATGCCAAGACGATACTGCCTGAACCATTTGAGGTGAGCTTCCCAAGCAGAATTGAATGGGAACATGGCATACCTGAGACCAGGCAACAAGACCAAACTAGGAAATTGTCTATTAAATTTAGAAATAATTCAACACACAAATTTCTCAAGTTCATTTGTAGGTATATCCTTTTCACAATCCGTAGTCCAAAGGTAAAGGTAAATTTATCACCTTTCCCTATCAACTAGCACTGAAAGGTGATACATTTTACCTTTACCTTTGGACATCGGAACATCGGATTGTGAATAGATAATTACTGATCGTGATCGATCTGTTATCCAAGACGTGAATGACATACTTGAAATAAGATTGCCAGTTATTGCAGAGAATACAAAACTTAGCTGCTCAAGATTAGATGCAGAAAAAATATAGATTTCTTATTTCAAATTGAGTTCTAAAAGAAATATTTTGCTACTTCTGAACTTATTATACGACCACTAACTGATATTCCGGTAATAAAAGTCGTGAAATTTATTAAATAAATGGATTTCACAAAAAAAGCGAAAGTAGAAAAGAAAGTAGAAGAATTTAATGAGTTTTTACTTGAAATGACTTTTAGGGAAATATTCAAAAAAATCGTATGCTACACCACTGAAACCGTTGGTTCTCCGGGATGTTCTAGATCTTCGACTCGGCTCTCGGTTTCGAGCACAACAAAGATGGCTGCCGCCTTAAAACTAACCTCAATTTATCAATGTCTTCAAGATAAGGCAGCACAATAGAGTGTGTAAAACATCCTTTTGTTTCGAGTTATACTAGAGGGCAAAACAAGGAGGAACCGGGAGCCGCTAAAACGGAACAATGTTCCTACAATGACCAGGGACCTTTACACATTCTATTATATTCTCTCCAGGTTTTGTTTTGCCTATTTTATGTTTTCCTTTATCGCGTGTCTCTTAGAGGGGGGTCTTAAGATAATTACAGTTTCTGATCAGAAAACTGGAAAATTGAGTCATACAATATATTGTAAAAAAAATCATTAATTAAATAAATGAAAATTCGGATTTAAAAAGCGGAAAAAGTGGGAAATATGATCTCGTTCGGAGCGGAAAAAGCTGCATTCATAATCGTTTTACACCAGCAGGACGGAGAGCTTTTAATTCGAAAAAAGTTTTAGATGAACTAATTAAAAATTGTAACTTTTGTAATATAAATAAAGCGCTCTTTTAAATGGTAGCTCAGATTTACGTTACAGAACAACGAGGTCGGAGATTGGACCAAGTTAGAATACTTATTATGATGCGATTTCAGTATAGGAAGGTCTCCGACTTACTGTTCTATGAAAGTTTCAACAACTTGTTCCTAAGATTGCAAAAATGTTCTATTGTGTCGGTCGGTCTGTTCGTCTGTCTGTCGGTCTCAAGATTTCGTTCGTAGATATACAGAATGTCCGAAAAAAATGTGTCACTTCGAGAAATACCTCTTTAGTATATCGTACTCACTATTATCTCCAGGCTCTTTGGTTAAATTGTTCTGATTTCTAAGACTCGAGAATAGCAGATGTGTGCAATAATCGCACTTTTTAGTCGATTAATGATACCTCATCTGTCTAAATCGGAGGAGGGCCTAATTTTGAAACTTTTCCCCTCCATGATATGGCAAAGTCGATAGATAGGCGCACCACGTATCTGATCGTAATGAATTAATTCGCCAGAAGCTGTTTCGCACGATTCATTAAGCCGCCTTCGGGACGTTTTGCCGCCCGAAGAAGAAAATACCTTACGAGACATTAAATAAATGGCAGAAAAGCTAAGAAATACACTTTATATATATCGCGGGAGGGGCCCTTCGAACAGAGAGCCTTCCACTGCGGTTTTCTGGGAAGATAAAAGACATTTCTTTACCAGTGGCGCAGGAGTTAACCTCAAAAACAAACCCCTTTTTCAAATGCCACAAGCATGCTCGATTTGTTTTTGATTTCGTACAATCCTTCAAACCTTATAAGGGCTACAGGCATATACCATAGCTATATGAATATTTTGAAATAGAAAACATGTGGCCCAATCCCATTGACTCTCTCTCTTTCTTATATCAGATCTTTACTCGATACTATGATGATAGCGTTCTACTGTTACCATGCGGTTCTCTGGAGTCGTATGAGGTCGCTAGTGATGACTTTGTAGGGCAGCAACCATAGAGTATTTAAAATTCAACATTTCTGCCTGGAATCGTCCAAGAATCTTTATAAAGCCAGATTGGTCTGACAACTCCCACCATATTTTCCAGCATTCACTGATCTGGTCGGAACCTAAAATGATAAGGGATGGAAGTTGACATTAGTTCTTTCTCGTTTTAATAAAATGTGTGAAAAATTTTTGATCTGATACTACTGATATAAAATAGAATCTCTAAAGAATTATTCCGAGAGTTCCGCCCCTGTTTCTAATTGAGAAAACCCAAAAGGCGGGCGTGAAGTGATGGATAACAGTCGTTAAGCAACCCAACTAGGTTTTCTCGGGGAAATTCTGAAATATTCGCTCTCCATTTTCTCCAGACCAGGAAGTTTTCTTATTAATGATGCCAACGACAAATTTTAAATTGAGTGAAAAACGACAGCGATTTATTATAATCAAGAAAAATGCACCTGTAAATATTTTCATTTATTTATTTATTTATTCAAAAATTTACAAACACCAGGTTGTTTATTACATGTGAAGTACACTTACAAACTAGGTAGGTACTTAAAACTAGCGAAAAACAGATTCCAGTAAAACACTGTCTTCAGGTGCTAGGCCTTCTGTTCCAAACAAACAAGCTCAGAAGACATGAGCAAGATAACTATACAGACACTGTAATGATTGATGATTACCTGTCTTGAGGCAATATAAGTAGTTTTAGTGGACTATTG